GGGCTGTGCTTGCTCAGGTCCCGCGGTGGCACGAAGCCCGGTTTGAAGCTCTCTGCCGGACTGTGAGGGGAGATGGGGCGATGGCACAGCTGGGGATGGGTCCCTCCTCTGGTCCAGGAGGGACCAGAACCACCCTGAGCTCAACAGGACCAGAGGCACCCCAAATCCAGGTATCGGACCCATCTTCAGAACCCAGCCTGGACCTGAAGCACCTCAAACCCATCTGGGACTAGAAACATCTCTCACACCCAACTGGGAGCAGAACCGTTCCTTGACCTGGACCACCCCAAGCCCAGCCAGGACCAGAACCACCCCCTAAATCCATCTGGGACCAGAAACATCTCCTGGACCAGAAGTATCCACCAAACCCAGCCCAGCACCATCCCCTGAACTGGGACCAGAACCACCCCCTACCTGGACCATCTGCTGGACCCATCAGGGACCAAAACCATCCCCTGTATCCAACTGGGACCAGTCACCCAAAGCCCATTCTGGACCAGGGTCACCCTAGACCCAACCAAGACCAGAACCATCCCGTGAACCCATCCAGGACCAGAATCATCCCTGCCCCATCCCAAAGCTCCTCCTGACCCCACATGTTCACCCGGTGTGTCCCTGTCCACCCACCGGTACCTTCGCTCCGTGGTGGAGCTGAGCCGGACGGAGACGGGGACAGGGGTACCCTCTCTGATGGCGGTGAGGATGGTGGGCAGGGGCTCCAGCTCCTCCTGCGTGGCCTGCCGGGACAAGACAAGGACATTATGGGGACAATGGGTGGCTTTGGGGTAGATGCCATCTATGGGGCAGTGGACACCAGCTCCATGGGGAGAAGGAGGTGGCCGGTCTCACCAGCTACCCTTGGGGACAAAGGGGTGGTGGCACCTGGTCTAGGCTGGAGAAGATGTCACAGAGCAGGAGGTGGAGAGTGGCCAGCTCCAGGGCCAGGTCCACGTAGCCATCGTAAGTGGCCATGTGGACGCTGTTCTCGGGGTTGGCCACGCTCTGCAGGAAGGTCGTCATGGTGCTCCAGTTGTGCTCCAGGAACTCGTTCATGAAGTCCATGTAGGCCTCCTTCTCGCCAAACCTGCCGACCACCGTGCCCGGTTACCTGTGGGCCAGGCCTGGGCCGCCACCACGGGGCTGGGCTAGGCCACCTCCGGGATCACGGACCAAGTCACTGCGATGTCCCTGCACCGTGTCACCGCTCTCTCTACAAGCCAGGATGTGGGTGAGGACACTGCCATCTTCTTGGACCAAGCCACCCATGGGTCAGACCCCCCACACGAGGCTCTGCTGCTGGGACACTCAGCCCCAGACGTTGGGGGGAGATGTCCTCTACTGCCCCATGGCTGATCTGTGGCACGGAGATGTCCCTGCTTGCCCTATACCATGTGGGGGTGTTCCTGCTGCCCCATGGCATTTAGGGGACATGCCCCATGACTGTCTATGGCATGTAGGGGATGTCCCCACTGTCCCATGGCTTCCCCATGGAGATGTCCCTCCCCACCAGTACCAGCGCCGTGACGTACGTGGTGAAGTTGGCCAGGTTCTGGATGACCTTGGCCACGAGGGTGAGGGTACGGGCCGTGGCCTCACTCGGGTACTCCTGGACGAGGCCGAAGAGGCTGGGGGACATGATGGCGGGGCAGAGGAACCGCAGGAAGAGGGAGGCCGAGACCAGACGCTGCCCGATGGACGCCTTGCCCCGCGCCTCGCACTCTTCCTGCCACGCCGCGAAGATCTCGCCCAGCTCCGCCGGGAAGGCACTGTGGGGAGAGATGCCCTGATGGGGACTGGGAGAGCACCACAGAGTGGTCCTGGAGCCCCCCGTATGTGCCACCATGATGTGCTGTGGGATATGGTGTCCCCATGCCTATGCTTGTCCCCAAGGGCGTCCCCAGGTCCTTCCTGGTGCCCATCCTCATGGATGGCGCCCACCCCTGTCACCCATGTCTGTCCCCAGGCTTGTCCCTGGGTCCTTCCTAGTGCCCATCTCCATGTCCATCGCAGGGATGGTGCCAATCCCCAAACCATCCCCAAACCAATCCCTCTACGATCTCCGTGCCCATGCTGGTGCCAGTACGTGTCCTCCTGCCCATTCCCATTCCTGTCCCCAAGTCCATCCCTGTGCCCATGCCCATCTCCAAGCTCTTCCCCAAGTCCTCCTGGTGTTGGTGTTCACCTTCATGCCCGTCCCATCGCCTGCACTGGTGTCCATCCCCAAACCCATCCCTGCGCAGGTGCCCACCCCCATGGCCGTCCCGGTGCCCGCGCCGGGGCTGTCCCTACTCGCAGGACGTGGCGATGCGCTGGAAAGTCTCCTCGCAGACCTGCCGCAGGTTGTTCTGGTTGTCGGAGAGGTCGAGTCCGGCACATTTGCTGGGATCGACCTCGCAGCTATCGTCTGAGGTGCAGACCTGGGCCACCGCCTCGCCTGGGCACCAAGGGACAGCCTGTGAGGGGACCAACCGGCCACCACCACAGGGCTGGCTGTGACAAGCCCCCACCACATCCCCATGGATGTTCTGGGGGGGTCCTACAGCCCAAAGTGCCCTGTAACACCCTGTAGTACCCCGTAATGTCCCACAAGGACCTGGAATGTTCGGCCTTACCCAGCGTGTCCTGGAGGTACTTGCCCCCCACCAGTTTCATGTACTCGTCGATGGCCTTGGTGGCCAGCGTGTTCTCACGGAAGATCAACGCCTCGCGGTCGTCGAAGCGGTCTAGCTCGGCCACACCCAGGTCGATGAGGAACGACTGCCGGGCGGATGTGTGGAGGGTCTCAGTGGGCACCCATGACCTCAAACAGCCTTGATCAACCCACC